CCAATTTTTTTCGGATAAGGACGTGAAATAGAAGGTGCAGTATTGTCGTCTGCGTACGCTTGGCGTTGCAGGAACTGGCTCCGGCGAGGCGCCAGCCGGTTCTCCACCAGTTGTCACGGACTGTGGTCACCTGCCATTTTTCACGAGAGGTGAGGAACAGGCTGGTGTTGCGCAAAATCCAGCCCTCTGACACGCCCTAGCGTGAGCAGCGAACAAGGCATTATTGGGCGTAGACCACCATGTCCTAACGACGTAGGCCCAGTTGATTCGACGTGTATGTGTTGTGCGAGTCAACTAACTAGGATTGTTGGTTTGCGGGCGTCGCAGCGCCTTGGATGCCTTGGACGGCTCGAGAAGACCTTTTTCGCTGGGAATATGGCATGTGGCACATTAACCCTCCATTCACGATCCGTGGAACCTCCGAGTAAGATGTTTACATTCGCTTCATTCAGAACCGGAAGACGCTTTCCGCTATGAGTATCGAGTGGAGTACTCACTATTATACGGTATCTTACGCCTACCTGTTTCTTTTCGCCACAAGCACAATATTACAACGCTCTGGGCAAGGGTAAGTTCTTTTCGCTTTGAAACACGATAGTTCTGTCTCTTAAACCTAGCAGGGATTCTGCTCAGGTTGACGCCGACTCGGAATGCTTCGGTGACACTTTTTCTCGCCGAGTTATGCGGGCTGTAGTTGGTTTCGAAGACGTGGTGATGGCAAGTCTTCGCGCTCTTGCTCAAAATTCATCTGAAGATGGTGCGTTGTTAGTTTGGAAGCAAGCAACAATGGTTTCGTTTTCCTTTCTTGACCTTTTTCAAAGCTTTTGTCAGTCACTCTGTAAGGAGTTAATAAAATAATTCTAGTTTCATGCAGTAAGTACTTCTTCAACAAAATTCAATGAGTACTCGAAACACAATTTTCATTGGTAAGCTTTCGCTGTGGTAACAGCTTCTTCAGACCTCAAATAAAATAAAGCATACATAGTACTACAAATCTTTACAACAATAGAGTTGGTCGAAGTACTAACCAGACTGGAGTCCTTCTTAACAATAAAGTTGCTAAGGTCTGTAATACAATACACTCAATGCCTACAAGATGACAAGTGCTAACGACCTACCTCAATGACACCTCCAGTGCAACTAAAAGTGACTAAGAATGGACGCGCGTGACAATTGCTAGGACATCCTTATCACGACCGTTATGCAGTCAGCCCCATTGCTCCACCAGCTCA